AACTAGGATTCTGTCCAGTAGTCTGTTATGTGGGATGGTAGGCTTTTTTTTTTTTTAAACACTGAGTCAATTATTATGGGTTTCATTATGGTAAAAATGATTCTTGCTAATTAAATTAAAATTTACTTGTAGAACTTATAAAAATCTGGGGCCCTAGACTAGTTAGATAGTTCAGTGGGTAAATACACTTGCTGCCAAGACTGATGACCTGTGTTCAGTTCCTAGGATCCATACAATGGAAGGAAAACACTGACTCCCACAATTTGTCCTTTGACCTTTATAGGTGTACAATGTCATACTGATTGTACATGTGTATGAGTGTGAGAATGCCTACAAACACACACACACACACACACACACACACACACACACACACAGAGTAAGTTAAAATGTAATGAAAAATGCCAGATGTGTTGGTACATGCTTTTAAAACCAGCACTGCAGAGGTAGAGGCAGTCAGTCTTTCTGAGTTCAAGACCACCCTGGTCTACAAAGAGAGCTTCAGGCCAGACAAGGCTATGCAGTGAGACCCTATCTCCAAAAAACAAAACAAAAAAAGTTTTGAAAGCCCAGGAATATGGCTTAGTGGGTAAAAGTACAGGTTACACAAGACTGATAACCTGAGTTAGATTGCCCAGAACCCATTTATAAAGAAAAGTCAGATGAGGTGTAGGTGTGCATATATAATTATAGTAGGAAATTACCAATACGGAGTCAGGTAGAAATATAAGGGTATTTAATAGGGAAAAGCCTTACTTACAGAGCGAACCAGCCAGCCGGTGGTAGTCTGTACAGCAAGAAGCAAAGAGAAACCGAAACCGAAACGCAGTCCTCCTACTCACTCTGACCACGCCCTCACAAGCCCTCAGGTACTCCTGTAGCCAGCCCCTAAGAAGGCGTGGCTACAGCTTCCCCTACAGAGGTGTAGGTGTGCATATATAATCTCAGCACTTTTGCAGTGAAACAGGAGATAAAGAGTGGAGAATCACACCAGAAACTCATTGACCGGCAAGCCTGGGGTACAGAGCACAGCAACAAAAACAAGAGAGACCCTGCCTTGACAAGGTGGGAGGTGAGAATTGAATCCTGAAAGTTGTCCTCTGATCTCTACACGTGTGCTTGCCCTCTCTACCTTCACAAAGCTGGGGAACAAACCTAGAGCTTTGTGCATGCCAGGCAAGCTGTCCGCCATGAGCAACAGCCTCAACTTGAAATTCAGATCATTGCATCTTAATAAGAAAAAATTGGCATAATGAAATAAATCTCTAAATATGTAGTTCAGTAGTCATTAGTAATGTGACAATATTGATTACTTTTGTAGGGTTAATTTGCTTAGCACATTTGATTTTTGGAAATATCAGTCTAAAGTAAATCACAAAGAATGATAGCTGGAGACCTCATTGTGAAGAAAGACCAGAACCCCAGTGGGTAGAAGGCTTTCTACCTGTTCCCCAGAATACTTCTGATCCTGTCCTCTGCGCTGGTCATTACACTGCCGTCTCCCCACATACCACCCTACTTTCTATAATGAAAACGTTCATGGAACCCTCTCTTTAGTGTTCAGAAGAGCCATGCTAGCTTGGTTACATGTCATCAAGCATCTTTCTCTCCCACAAAGCCAGTCTACATATTCCCTTTTCTCTTTTTAATGGCTTGGACAGAAAGAAAAGGTGTCCACTCTTTCAGCAGAGGTACATTCGCATTTCCTCCTTAAACAGGAATTGACAGCAAATACTTTAGGACAACACGCTAGACCAGTGTCCTTGATGTTCCCCTCTAATGAAAGACACTGACAGAATACTGTCCTCAAGAGCAAGGTGGTACCTTCTTATTTCTGTTGCCTTTGTATCAGCCTTCGGTGCAGCCTACTAAAGTATGGATGCTGTTGTAGAATCCCCACCACCCTGTCACCTTCCCTCCTCATCAGGCGTGCACACTCACTACTACGGCTAAACATTTTCTTTCAATTTCCTGTACTTTCTTTTTCTTGACACTATCCATTGTATTTTAGGAATCTCTCACTCGCCATCATTTGTTTTTAAAAATATGATATTTGTATTAATTCCTCGAGAATAGCATGCACGCACACAATGTATTTCAATCATATTTACCCAGCTATTTCCCCAACCCCGCCTAGCCCCAGCTCCCACCCTCTCCATGTTCTTGGCGTTGGCTAGAACAGGGGTCAAAGAGCAGAGGCGGGACAGTGACTGTCAGTGTCTCCACACTATCTCTTTAAGTGCTGATCTCCAGGAAGGCAAACAGCCTGTCTCAAATTTGCTTTGTAAGGAATATAATAAGGAAATCTTCTGAAAAGGCTGGGCAGAAGGTGCGCTTAATCTCTTATAATGTTAGTTCACCCCAATTTCAGACCAAGAGTGATGATCCGTGGGAAAAAAATTGGGAATCTGCCTGCGGGCAACATTCACCCCTGATGGAGAGATTGTTACAGAAACCTAACCCTTGGAAGTTCTCAACGTCCAAGTAAGGATTTATTAAAGGAATTAATATCTTTGAAGGCTCAGAAAGCAATCCTGCTTTCCTACAAGATGGATGAAAGGCAGAGATTTCAAAAACATTTGCTAGGAAACATCAATAGCCAATCCTGCTGATTTAATTTTTTTCAGTCCCTCAGGCATCAAAAGAAGTTGTGACTTGTCCACATTTACCTTGGAAGCAGAGCAATATTGTAAATTAGAAATGACCAGGGCTTCGCTGGCTGCATTTCATTTTTAATTAGTTGAAGTTTCAGGAAACTTTGGAGCATTTCTTCTGCAGAAGCTGAAGAACTTGCCCTTTGTGTTTGCTGTGGATACAGGAGTATCTGGTGACACTTGCTTGCAAAAGAAATGACCAAGCCTTTGGGTCCAGTTGCCTATCACAAGCACTACAAGAAATGGCCCCCAGCTACAGCCATTTCCCTTCCAGTTTGTTCTTGAGTAAGCAGAAATATCTTATCCTTTTGCTGGGAACTCTCCAAACATGTACTTGTTAAAGATTGATCCTAAAAATAAAGTTTCTAACAACACAAAACACCCAAATTGCAAAAGTGCTAAAATAGTGACTGATTTTGCTTCTCATGGTGAACCCATAAGAGGCAACACTAGGGTTGCCCATGACTTTGAAATTAAGGTTTCCTCTGAGAATAAATCTGAAACAGAGGTCATATAATGCATCACACTAATCATTCATTCACTCAACGTACAAGTCATGTGATGGTGTGAGTTTGTATTGACTTGCTACTCAGGAACATTCAAGGCCATGAGTGCCAGGCTAGCTTGGATAGCATAGTGAGTCTCGTAGCTCAGAAATCAATGAAAACTCCAAAAAACAAAAAATATTTTATTGACTACATTAAAAATATTCAATGTCTTTGGCTGGCAAGATTCCTGATCTTCCTGTAACAGCCTCCTGATTGCTGGGATCTCAGGCTGCACAGCCACGCCTGTAGCTGAGTACTGTGTGCCTAACACTGCCATGCCCGGAACCGTTGTATCTAGTAGTATTTCAAGTCCCCAGTATTTTAGGATAAAATGAGGAACAAATCAAGTCCCACAATATCAGGAAACTTACATTCACTCATGGAAATATTTAGCCCTAAACAATATCCTGTAATATCTCAGGAAGCACCTGGACTCTACTCAAGTAGGAATGTTCCTTCTAAAATATGACTATCTTAGTATGATGGCTAATCTTGATGGTCAACTTGACTGCATTTGGAATCAACTGAAACAAAACTTTGGGTACTCATGGAAGGGATTTCCTTGATCAGATCATTTGAAGCAGAAGTACCCTGACTGTGTCACCTTCTGGTGGCAGTTTAGTCAAAGGGACATAGAAGAAGGAAGCTTTTGCTTTTGCCTACTTGCCCTCACTCTTGTAGGCAAGTTCATCTGTTCTGTTGTGGCAGCATCCCTCTGCTGAGGCTAGAAGCAGCTTTTTGTAGACTGAAGACCAGCTCCCCAGGAATCCTCCACCTTCAGCACCAGACCGAGACTGCTGAGACATCCAGTCTCGTGGACTGAGCAACTACTAGATCCTCAGCTCTTCTGTCAACTAGCAGGACCATAGCATGGGAGTCAATGTAATAAATCACACCCCCCAACACTCACACACATGTAAACTCTCACATATGCACATTCACACTCTAACAGCCACACATTCACACTCACACAATACACACTTACATACACTCTCTCACACTCACACACACAACATATCACACTCTCACACATACACACACACTCTTCCATACTCACACACATAGACTCACACACATACTCTCACACACATAATCTTTAAAAAGAAATACAAGATATTTGAGTCTTGAATTTTATAGTCTTTATAGCTTGATATATTTAATTATGAAAACATTATTTCATAAAGGTATGCCATTAGAAGATTTTTTTTAGCTTATAAAGAGGCTTACTTATTTTTATTTTGTGTGTATGGCTGTTTGTATGTATGTATCTGCACCACATATATTCAGTGTTCGAGGAGGCCAGAAGAGGGTATTGGATGCCCTGGAGCTGGAATTACAGGTGGTTGTGAGCCACCCTATGTGGGTGCTGGGAACCAAACTCAGGTTCTCTGCAACAGCAGTAAGTGCTTTCAACTGCTGAACTCCAGCCTAAGATTTTTAGCTGCATTTAGTAAAATTAATTTGTAGATCATTGTAAAAGAAACACAAAAAGTGTTTTATTCTTTTAATTTCGGTTTAGAAACTGTCACTTTTCTTGTTGAATGTTAACTTCTGAGCTGGGCGGTGGTGGTGCACATCTTTAATCCCAGTACTTAGGAGGCAGAGGCAGGTAGATCTCTTGAGACCAAACAGAACCCCTCCCCATCCCCGCCCGCTGAATAGGCTGTGTTCTCTCAGAACACGTAACAGACCCAGGTTCTGGTGACCCTAGCAGTGTTCGCTCCACAGGTTCTCACCCGCCTGCCACAGCACCCAGCCGACCTGCCCGCTCCTGTGCCATGAACACGCTGTCACTGGCACTATGTCCCACCTATACCCAGCACTGACCCCGGAGCAGAAGAAGGAGCTGTCTGACATCGCTCACCGAATTGTAGCTCCGGGCAAGGGCATCCTGGCTGCAGATGAATCCACCGGAAGCATTGCCAAGCGCCTGCAATCCTTTGGTATTGAGAACACCGAAGAGAACCGGCGCTTCTACCGCCAGCTGCTGCTGACTGCTGATGACCGTGTGAATGCCTGCATTGGGGGCGTGATCCTCTACCACGAGACACTGTACCAGAAGACGGATGATGGATGTCCCTTCCCGCAAATTATCAGATGCAAAGGCGGTGTTGTGGGCATTAAGGTAGACAAGGGCGTGGTGCCCCTGGCGGGCACTAATGGCGAGACCACCACCCAAGGGCTAGATGACCTGTCTGAGCGCTGTGCCCAGTACAAGAAGGACGGAGCCGACTTTGCCAAATGGCGTTGTGTGCTGAAGATTGGGGAACACACCCCTTCAGACCTTGCCATCATGGAAAATGCCAACGTCCTGGCTCGTTATGCCAGCATCTGCCAGCAGAATGTCATTGTACCCATTGTGGAGCCCGAAATCCTCCCTGATGGGGACCATGACTTAAAGCGCTGTCAGTATGTAACTGAGAAGGTACTGGCTGCTGTCTATAAGGCTCTGAGTGACCACCATATCTATCTGGAAGGCACGCTGCTGAAGCCCAACATGGTCACCCCAGGCCACTCTTGCACCCAGAAAGTTTCCAGTGAGGAGATTGCCATGGCAACTGTCACAGCACTTCGTCGCACAGTGCCTCCTGCTGTCCCTGGGGTCACTTTCCTGTCTGGAGGGCAGAGTGAGGAAGAGGCGTCCATCAATCTCAGTGCTATCAACAAGTGCCCCCTGCAGAAGCCGTGGGCCTTGACTTTTTCCTTTGGCCGAGGCCTGCAGGCTTCTGCCCTAAAGGCCTGGGGTGGGAAGAAGGAGAACATGAAGGCTGCCCAAGAAGAATACATTAAGCGTGCCCAGGCCAACAGCTGTGCTTCTTTAGGAAGGTACAATCCAAGAAGTCAGTCAGGGGCGGCAGCCAGTGAATCCCTCTTCGTCTCTAACCATGCCTACTGAGTAGAGGTGGCCTAAGGCTGCCCCTCCAACACCGCAGTCCCTGCCTACCCATTTGCTCTTGAGGAGGAAGCCTCCGGGTTCTCTGCCATCAATCACTTGCCGCCCCTCTACTTCGGTGTGTAGTACTGTCTGGGAATGCTAACTCTACCGTCCCTTCTAGCCCGCTGCTAATCAACACTATATTAGGGGAAAAAAGAGTCACCTCTGCCCCTTTCTCTTGAAGACCAGACAGGAGTGGAGGTGGCAGGACAATCAAATCATTTTCAGAGTATGTCTCTAATACTACTTGAAGCCTCCCCTCCCACTGAAGCAATCCCTTTGTTGTTCTTAAAGTCTGCTTCAAACAGGTGTTTGTTAGTGTCTTTCCTTCTGTCTAGGACCTACTATAAACTTGGAATATTGAACTGTTTTGTCAGTCAGCACCTGCCAAGCCTCGAGTCTACATATCAGCAAATGTGCTTCTGTTTAACTATCTTTTTACAGTCATAAGAGAAATAAACATATAAAATAAACGCATCTCGATGCATAGCTGCGCAGGAGTACAGATGTTTTATTAATGAAAATGAATCCAGCTTTTGGTAAGTCATGGCAGCAATATAACATTTCATTGTTTGGTTCTGTGCTAGACAGTCCCTGCTGTTCCCACAAATTCCTGTAATGCTTAATGGACATCTGGAAGAATTCAGCCAATTAATCGAATTCACATAGGAGCTAGGCTAATGGCTGTCTGAAAGGCAGATTACATTAAATCAAACTTGCAATATGAATGAAAGCACTTAATCATACATGCAACATTCATTAGATGCGACACAGCACGTGTTTTGATTGCTTTAATGAAAGATCAGGTAACGTGTCTCAGCCGAGCAGATTGAAAAGGCAGCATGCTTACAAATGTTTGATTATGCTGAATATCAACAGAAGCGGTGCCAGTAATTTATAGCAAAACATATTTGTAGGCGTCTAGAGCTGCTGAAAGCAGGGAAATGTGGAACCCGGGTGCAGAGCAGTGATTAATATGTGATAAAACTTTAGTAGGTGTCGGGAAAAGACAGGGGTTCAGTCATTTATAGACACAGGCACCTTCATGCTGTGAGTGACTTGAAATCTCTGTGAACCCCAATTCATTTACTTTAAGGTTCCTTGGGGAAAGGTAACATCAGAGTAGGACCCCTGACTTAAAAGAGGACTTACCCCTGGAGAGGGGGGCTTCAAAATCTTCTGGCAGGAGTCAAAATCCTAGTGATCATAGTTATGTCTGACCTCTAGAGCCATGGATATTTTCTACCTTCCTTATGCCTCCTCAATTACTCCCCCTGGCATTCTAGAAAAGAAAACTTACAAAGTATGTTTCCTACATAATATGATTGGCTTTGCAAATTTTAGAATACAAATAAAATGCCATTTACAGACTTTTTCTATAGAAAATAAGGATAAAGAATATATGGTATTTTAAAATTACACTTAATATATATGTGGTTTTTAGAACAGGGTCTTACTATATAGCCCAGGTTGGCCCTGAATTCAAGGTCTTCTCTCCTCTACCTTCATGGATGACAGGTGTGTATCACTATGCCCAGCTCATACATTTGGAACTAAATTTGTAATTAATAAGACTATAACACAATGAAAATTGTATTTTATACAACTATGTATGACTTCTATATGGTGAATTCAGAGGTGGTGGGGACCACTCTTTCCCTGGGAGCCAAGGAAGAGCTGACTGTCATTGCTTTAGATTGGCAGTAATGGAATCCTGAAAACAGAAATGGACTAGCACCTGGCTGGTCCTCCTTTGACATTGTCTCCAATTCGAGCTGACCCACAATGAAGCAAGGATTCCATTGCTTTGATAGCAGGGGAGATACCAAAACAGAATGATTGAAATTGTAGCCACAGGCGATTGTAATGTCCTATCCAGCAAAATATCACAAAGGCAGACTGAAGCAGCAATTACAAGCTCAGTCCAGAACACTGGCAGCAATTATAAGCTCAATCCAGAACATTTGCAAGCAGCAGGAAGTTGAGATTTGTGAATTTTTAAAAGAAAAGCAGGGGAGAGATGGAACATGAGAAAATTGGTATTTGAGACACACTTTAAGAAATATGACAAGATAATTAAAAAGTCACTGTTTTGGAGCAAAGCCTTCTTTGGCCCACCTGGGCTGCTATAGTAAAGTACTAGGAAGCAGGTAGCTTACAAGGAACAGACAGCTATTTTTAACAGTTCTAGGAGAGACGTCTGAGGTCAAAGTTCCTGCGGTTATGTGTCTAGTGAGGGTCTGCATTCTGGTTCCCTTCCATGTCTTCACTTGAGAAGGATAGAGAGTTCCCTGGTGTTTGCCCTCATGACCTCACAACCTGCCAAAGGCCTTGCTTCTCAAAGCCACCCACTTAGGCACAGTGCTGGCTTTCCTTGCATGCCTTGTGTCTTCCTCTGTCACCGTTGTCCTATTTGAACAGATGCTTTTCAGTGTAACAGCTGAACTGTCTTAAGTGTCTCGTGTTTGAGACAGGGACAGAGTCTTGCTATGTGGCCAAGCTAGCCTTGATCTCTGCAATCTTTCCACCTCACCTGGGATTATAGCCATAAATTAACACATCCAACTAACCAGTTGATTATACTATACAAAATTGTATAGTATAATCTTTTATTAACAATTACAGAGAGAACAGTTCAGGCAGACTTTTACATGAATATCCATAAAAATAACCCAGATCCATTTCCAGGGCTTTGTCAAGTGGTTCTCAACAAAGGGACTACTTGGAGTTTGCAGATAACAGGCAGAAACACCACAGGCTGAGTTTGGTTTGCCTCAGAGATTTTTGCATTGCACAATCCAAGGAAGCCTACAGTCTAATTTCACTTAATTGCCTGGAATCATCTCTTGAATATTTGCCAGGAGTAAAACATTGTGCTGGGCACTTTGTGGACAGGCCCAATCAGTTCCTTCACTTAAGGAGATCACATGTTTAATTAATGTAAGCATAGAGCTGGTGGCTAGAGAGTGTGAGGTCCCAAGGTGTCACGAAGCAGTGTACAGTGATGTCCTCGTGTTGCACTGAGTTTGGAGCTGGTATTCGGGAGGCTCTTTGGGCCTAGATTAAATCATCTTCAGGTGCTTCAGTCACAAAACAGACCACATTCCAGTCAGTTCCTGGGAACAATCTATGATTCCGTGATAGTGAAACTACATGGGGCCACAAAGAAGCCGAAGAAAGCAAAACTGAGCTCCAACATTCAACAGCACAACAATATTTATTTTCCACAGCCAAACAAAATAAATAAACAGAAAGAAAATGGCCAACTTGAGAGGGACTGGAAGGGCAGGTGACAATGCAGTTTTGTTTCCATTAGCTTTCCCACCAAAGGCTTTTAAAGTACTTTACAAAATGTTATGCCTCACCCTCCATGAGAGACCAAAGTGTTATTATCTCCAGAGAAAGGTGGAGGGAAGGAGGAACAAAGGTTTACTTCTTTTATGCCAACTATTTTGTGGAGTATTTGAAATGAGACTTGAAACTAGAGAAGCAAGAGAGGAGGCTGGAAGAATTTGTAATTGAGAGGCATAATTTCACACGGCATAAGTGTCTAGAGGACGTTAATACAGTGAATCTTCATTTCCAGTCAAGTGGAATGAAAGCCTTGGGCTGCTTCATCGCAGCACATCCTGCAAAGAGCAATTCCGGCTTCAGAGAACCCTCCACTCCTAGCAATTGTTCAGTGAAAATGGCTGTGATGAGGATTCTCACACAATTGTCCAAAATATGTCCATAGTGTTCTGCTATGCACACATGCTTTCTCCGGTGGAATATTAAATATTTGCAGGACACTGTGTGGGCTCCTGCAGCACACATGGGGAGACCTGCCATAGCATGATTCTTCTCTAGCTCTTTCCATCTCCTCCTCTTGTCTTATTCCTCCTTTCTGTGATCTGTTTAGTGGAACTCCATGAAGGAATTCTATACAGGAAAATAGCTTAATAAGAAAAATATTGCATTGTTTCATATTTATGAAGACTTCTATAAAATCTAGATACATAGTAATTTTTGAAGACTCCTAGTCCCAGTATTGCCATTGAGAAAAAGGCACTCATAATTATTCACACGTATATTATATATATTTATTTGTGTGTGTGTGTGTGTGTGTGTGTGTGTGTGTCTGTCTGTCTGTTTTCATGTGTATATGCCACATGTGTGCAATTGTCCACAGAGACTAGAAGAAGGTTCTTGATACAGGCAGTTGTGAGCTGCCTAATAAGGGTGCTGAGAACTGAACTCAGGTCCTTTGGAAAAGTGGCAAGTGCTCTTAATTGCTGAGACATCTCCCTAGTTCCTAAGCACAGTTTTAAAGATGGTCTCAATCTGTTATCCAGGATGTCTAGCCATGAACTTCTGTGTTGTAATGATTCTCCTGTTAGTGTTCAGGCATCTGCCCTTAGGCTTCTGACAGGATATGTCCTCAGCTGTAGCCACTAAGAGCACCACCTGTGCACATTCACTACATTCCCTTTTAAAAGAGCCCTGCCCACCTCCCACCCCTCTCTCTCTCCCTCCCTCCCTCCCTCTCTCTCTGTCTCTCTGTCTCTCTCTCTCTCTCTCTCTCTCTCTCTCTTCCACCACTCTTGTCCCCAGGGATCAGTCTCTGCCCCCCTCTCTGCCCCTTTTTCTGCTCCTTCTCCTCTTTTAATAAACCTCCTATGTGAGTCCTGTTGTATGGCATGACTTCTCTTTGAGGCATTTTTAAAGTTATAACACTTCCTGCCTCGGCCCTCAGAGTAAATGACATGCATGGGCAGCTGATGTGGACACACACACACACACACACACACACACACACACACACGTGTGTGTATACACATCTATACATATATGTTTACATACATTTTTTGGGGAACACACACACAAGTATGTGTATGTATGGATCCACATCTATACATGTATGTTTACATACACTTTTTTGGGAACACACATACACAAATGTGTGTGAATGTATATCCACATCTATACATATGTGT